CTCTAAAATCAGTAAACGCATATTTTAAAAAAAGATTTATTAAAAAAATAGTACAGGGGTGATTATGTAGAGGGGGATGGAGGAAAGAGAGGGAATGGGAAGATAATAAAGCAAATGTACTTAAATGTTACATTTGTGGAGTTAAAACTTTTCAAGATAAAAGGTTATGGGGAAAAACTGATTCAGGAGACACACTGAAATAAGCATAGGATTTTTGATACACTCCTCAGATCCTTTGACTCAGTGATTCCCCCTCTAGGGATTTGTCTGAAGGAAAGAATTAAAGTTGTCCAAAAACATTTAACTGAAAAGATGACATTGTAAACAACTGTTAACAATTTAAGGATTATTTAAACACTAGAGGCCCAGTGTGCACGATTGTGCCAGTAGCTGCTTCTGCTTGCCTCAGCTGACCGCCCCGCCCATTGCTCTGGTAGCTCTCCAAAGCTGATAGCTCTCCGCCCCTAGTAGCTCGTGCTTGTGTGTGTGTGTGTTGCAGGAAGCAACCAATCAATGATTCTCTCTCATCATTGATGTTTCTAACTCTCTCTCCTCCCTTCCTCTCTGAAATCAATAAAAATATATTAAAACATATATATTTAAAAAGTTATGAGATGTTAAGTCAAGAAAGTAGCTTATAAAATAATATATAGCTTATGATCCCATTTTTTAAAACTATGTATATAGAATCACCGAAACTGGTTTGGCTCAGTGGATAGAGCGTCAGCCTGCGGACTGAAAGGTCCCGGGTTAAATTCCAGTCAAGGGCATGTACCTGGGTTGTGGGCACTTCCCCAGTGGGGGATGTTCAGGAGGCAGCTGATTGATGTTTCTCTCTCATCAATGTTTCTAACTTTCTATCTCTCTCTCTTCCTCTCTGTAAAAAATGAATAAAAAATATATTTAAAAAAAACACTGAAAAAAAAAACTATGTATATAGAATGTATATGCATTAAAAAAGTGGAAGTGCATTAGTTAACAGATTTTACCCATATTGTTGTGATTTCCAAATGACAATAATTACAGGGAAGCACCTTGTTAAACAGGGTGGGAGGGTTGGGGAGTGGGGCCAGGAAGAATATGGAATGATACATATTAGTTAGTGTGATAATGGATGATTTTAAATTTCCTCATTTTTCTACAATACCACACGTACTACTTATATGTGCTTTTATTAATTTTTTTTTCTAGATAGAAAGGGAGAGAGAGAATCATCAGTGATGAGAGAGAATCATTGATCGGCTGCCTCCTGCATGCCCCGCACTGGGGATCGAGCCCACAACCCAGGCATGTGCCCTTGACCAGAATCGAACCTGGGACCCTTCAGTCCCCAGGCTGATGTTCTATCCACTGAGCCAAACCAGCTAGGGTGCTTATATGTGCTTTTAAAACATTTTTAAACAGGAAAGTTGTTAAAATTGAAGGAGAAATCATTCCTGATCAGACTTGTACCATATCATGACAACCCAAAATAGATAGCTGCACAGTATGCACCTTTTAGATTTCAAGTTATGACCTAGCCCAGTGGTCGGCAAACTGTGGCTCGCGAGCCACATGCGGCTCTTTGGCCCCTTGAGTGTGGCTCGTCCACAAAATACCGACTTCTGTGCATGGACCACAAAGTTTCAATAGCACGGTATGTGCATGCCTGCACGTGGTATTTTGTGGCAGAGCCACACTCAAGGGGCCAAAGAGCCCCATGTGGCTCACGAGCCGCAGTTTGCCGACCATGACCTAGTGTATGGTAGAAATATAATGTCACCTCTAGTAAGCCCCTAAACTTTGCTTAGAATCCACCTGACTTTGTCTGCCTCTCTGATAAAAGATTCTCAAGCTGTTCAGATGATCTCAATGCCCTCTGAGGGTGAATAATACCTTCTTATATCAGAGGGCTGGCACAGACGAGGTGATAATGAAAACCATCCATCTCACCTTAGTAATCTGTGTGCTGAGACTTGCTAAACCATACCGAGCTATATGAAAATATATTCTAAAATCTCAGCAACTCAATTTTTTTCTTTTGTTTTTGTTTTTTCAGCAGCTTATTTTTATTTGACTCAGTTTCTTTTTTTTTTTTTTTTAATATATTTTATTGATTTTTTCACAGAGAGGAAGGGAGAGAGATAGAGAGTTAGAAACATCAATGAGAGAGAAACATCGATCAGCCGCCTCCTGCACACTCCCCACTGGGGATGTGCCCGCAACCCAGGTACATGCCCTTGACCGGAATCGAACCCGGGACCCCTCAGTCCGCAAGCCGACGCTCCATCCACTGAGCCAAACCGGTCCCGGCTTGACTCAGTTTCTTTATTCTATTAGATGGAAATGATAACACCTGTTCTGCCTCCCTCTCATGAAATTAGGTATGTAAGAAAAACCTTTCAGAAAAGAAACCATTCCCCACCCTTAAATCTTCTCGGCAGCTTTACTTATAATCTCTAAAAACTGGAGATAACCCACATGACCTGCAATTGGTGAATGAGTAAACCAAGTATGGTACATCCATACAGTGAAATACTACTCAGCAATACAAAGGAACAAACTACTGATACCTTTGACAACATGGATGAATCTCAGAAGCATTATGCTAAGTGAAAGAAGCCAGACCCCAAAACTACATCCTGTATAGTTCAATTTATGTGAAAGTATGTATTCCAGGAAAGGCAAAACCATAGGAACAAAAAACAGGGGCACAGAGGTATTTGGGGTATGTTTGATGAAACTGTTCTGGTTCTTGATTGTGGTGATGACTGTATGCTTCGTCAAAGTCATAAAAGCATACACTAAAAAAAACTGAATTTTACTGTATGTGAATTAAACACACGGCAACAGATTTTTTAAAAATATTTTTTTTTTGATTTCAGAGAGGAAGGAAGAGGGGGAGAGAGATAGAAACATCCATGATGAGAGAGAATCATGGATCAGCTGCCTCCTGCAAGTCCCCCACTGGGGATCGAGCCCACAACCCGGCATGTGCCCTTGACCAGAATCAAACCTGGGACCTTATAGCAACAGATTTTCAAAGAAAATCTCCTGCTCAGGGTTTCAGGTGAATTCCTTGGAGTTCATGGGACCTCTGTGATGTGGGACTTACAGGGTGAGGCTAGGTGGGCTCTTCTGCAGCAGGAGAGGTGAGGGTGGAGCACAGAACCCTTTCAGCTGAGCCAAGCGAAATCTCTCTTTTCAGGGAGTTTGTCAGGGAGAAAAAGTACCGGACAGAGGCCGAGACGTTTGGGTGGAGCTTTGTCTTTGAGGACTTTGTCTCAGATGAGCTTAGAAACAAAGCGACTCAGCAAATGAAGGTGAGAAAACCTGGGCTTGGAGCTGAGGGAACGGGAGAGAGTGGGACCTGGACATAGAGGCATGTGGGGTCACCTGGGCCATGGTAGAAATCAGACCTGAGAGCGGGAGGCAGGGAGGAAGTGAGAGAAGCCCTTCCTGGAAGGGTCAAGTGAATACTTCCTCCCAGGAAGGGACCCCTGAGCTGGTTTCTGGGTAGAGAGACTGTAAAGACCCAGATAGATACACATGGGGCTCAAGATACATCCTGCACAAGCAGAACGTCCTGACAGGCCTCCCTCTAATGAGGGCCGTGAGGGGTCAGGCTTCAGAGACTCCAGACACAGCCTCACTTGGACGCCCTGAGTCTTGGCCTGAAGGGTCTGCTCCGCCTCCTATGTGTCAGTCGGGAGGGTGCGCATGGTGGGTTCGAGCATCTTGCAGTCATGCTCTTTCTTCTTTGTAGCCTGTTCTCTGGTGGCTTCCAGTGGAAAGGGCATTCTGGAGGCAGGTAAGGGTTGGTTCCTCCACCTTGTTTTCTACCCCTGGAGGGTTGGCTTCCCTAGCCCCCCTTGCCCATCTAGAAATACTGAGCTAAAAGGAGAAGTTTCAGGAAAACAGCCAAGACACCCTGTTCCCTAGTCCTCTTCCCATCACCTATCCCATTTTTCTTGTCAGTCTCATGTGTAGTCTCTTCGTTCTGGACCTCTCCTCACTCACCAACCTCTCTTCCAATTTCTTTGCTTCCCCTAGTGTTAAAAGCTGAACTTAGGTGCCCTAAGCCTAGCCTTCCTCAGACTTCCCTGAGCTCCCAGAGCCTGTCTCACTTCCTCCTGGCTGTCAGCCTGCAGGTCCCGGCTCTGGCATCCGAGAGAGACTGGAGCTCCCAGTGGTACACGTGAGCTGGAATGATGCGCGGGCCTACTGTGCATGGCAGGGGAAACGGCTGCCTACTGAGGAAGAGTGGGAGTTCGCGGCCCGAGGGGGCTTAAAGGGTATAGAGCTACCAAGGCGATTCCCCTTTGTTCTGCTCTTCATCCTGCCCTGCATGGGGGTCTCTAAAGGGTGGGAAGGGCTCATGCTCCCTAGAGCAGTGAAGGACCAGTTGCTGTTATTTTTATTTCTCATCTATCTCAGACCTATGTAAAATATGTAAAATATGGTATTTATTTAAAATACCATAAAAACTAATAACTGGAAAAATGGAATGAAAAAAACAATTTTTTTTTATTGTTGGAGATTCTACAGAGATGTCATGTTTCAAAAAATACAGTTGGACCAACATAGCATAGAGAAGAGGAGAAGAGTTATCCAAACCACATGCCTTTTCCATGGATGTATAGGGGTTAACCCCTTCCCCAACAATTTTTTTGTTAAAAACGTTTCTTTTTCAGACTAATTTTTTTATTTTGGTTCTATATAGTATTTTTTTTTTAAATATATTTTATTGAGTTTTCACAGAGAGGAAAGGAGAGAGATAGAGAGCTAGAAACATTGATGAGAGAGAAACATCAACCAGCCGCCTCTTGCACATCCCCCACTGGGGATGTGCCCACAACGCTCTATCCACTGAGCCAAACTGGTCTCGGCTCTATATAGTATTTTTGATGCTGGTTATGAAAACAGTTTGTAACTCGTCTTCCTATAAACCATATTTTTTTACCATATTTTCTTAGTATACTCGTCGACGACTGAAAAAGAACATTTTGTGAAAACGAGTATACACGTTTCTGCCGGGGAAGGGGTTTTAATATAAAAAATTGCTCTTTGCTCATAACTTAGTTGTTCTGCAATGGTGATTAAAAAAAGTTATGAGAGTGAAATAGCAATTCACCATATCCAGCCTCTACAGTTTGAACACCAGCTATACCAATAGTCAAAGTTATTAATGTGATAAATGAGGTTGTTTGTTCATTTTGCCAATCGAAGTCCAACGAACAAGTTTCTCAATGGTTACTCTCAATTTCTGCACTGATCTCAACATGCACTGGTCACAGGTGGTTTACAGAGGCATTGATCAGAACCACACCTAGGATTGCACTGCCCTGGGGTAATGCAGGAGGCGGGGCTCCGAATGCAATGCAGTGAGTGGAAGGGATGGGCATGGGATATAAAAATAACCTCCTTTCGGTTCTCTCGCTCGCTCTCTGTCTTTCCCAACTCTTCACCTCTCCCCCCAATGCTTTCTCCTTGCTCTCCCGCAGGTCAGGTTTATCCCTGGGGAAACAAGTTCCAGCCAAACCGCACCAACCTGTGGCAGGTAAGACATGCATTCCTCACTCTGTCCTTTCTCGGAGCAGTGAGGCCTGCTGTCGGCTGGGCACTGTGTTAGGTGTGGGCTTCAGAGGGCTGTGTCCTAAAGCTGGAAAGGGCGAAGCCGGAGACGAGGCGGTGGTGCACAGTGTGCGCAGGAGGAAATCATTCATTGCCTGAGAGTTCAGAGATGACATTTGAGCTGATCAAATAGGATTTTGCTAAGTGAAAAGAGGAGGAAAGGGTGTTGTCCAGCACCACAGCATGCGTGTTGGCATTGTGTTAGCAAAGGGTACTGTCTGTTTGGAAACGTGCCAGATTCAGAGAGACTGGAGCATGGGGAAATGGTGGGGGTCCAGGTGGTGTTGGGGGATGAAGTAGACAGTGGGTTGGAGGCAGATATTGGAGCAGATGCGCCAAGATGGGGTTTTAGGTTTTACCCTCTCGGCAGTGGGGAGCCAAATGGAGGTTGCTATACAGGGGAGTAACAATATCAGATGTTGACTTGGGGAAGTTAACTCTTGCTAATTATGCAGGACTAGATGAAGCAGAGCTGCAGAGGTGGCAAGGGGTGTCTAGGTGGTTATAAACACTTGAATTAAGTGGAAGTGGAATAGAGAGGAAGCCCAATGGAAGAGGCATGTCTGAGCAGATGGACAGGGTTTGGTAATTAATCGAATGTGGTGGGGTGGAAGAGAGTTGGACTCAAGCATGAATCCAAGCTTGGGCAACAGAGTGATGGTGCCACCATTATCCAAATAGATAATATGCTTGTTGGGTCAGAGGGACAGAACTTGGTCAGGGTAGGATCAGCTTAGCTTAGGATGCCTTTGGGTCTTTTATATGTTCAGTCAGAGGTTGAAAATATGAGTCTGAAACTTAGGACAGAAGTCTGGGTCAGAGCAAGTAGCTTGCGAGTCATAAGCATGTACCTTAGGAAAGAATGATCCTGTCCTCCCACACTGGCCAGGAGACGCTGTAGAGTGAGCGGAGCACAGCCTCAGTATTTTGGGGGGAAGCATTGATAGGGGCCTGAGAGGGAGACTGGACCTTTCAGATGATCTTGGGATCAGAGCTTTGCAGAAAGAGAAATCTGACATACACTGTTTGATCTTTGATAAATTAACCATTTTGAGCCTCAGTTGCTAGTTTCTTTTTTTTAAAAATATTTTATTGATTTTCCACAAAGAGGAAGGGAGAGGGATAGAGAGTTAGAAACATTAATGAGAGAGAAACATCCATCGGCTGCCTCCTGCACACCTCCCACTGGGGCTGTGCCCGCAACCAGGGTACATGCCCTTGACCGGAATCGAACCTGGGACCCTTCAGTCCGCAGGCCGATGCTCTATCCACTGAGCCAAGCCAGTCAGGGCAGTTGCTAGTTTCTTAAAGGGAGAGGATACTTGCCTCACAACCTTGCAAGGATTAAATTAAAAGATATAAGTGTAGCAGCCCTAGCACATAGTAGGTGTTGAGTAAATTATAGCCCCTTCATCTTCCCTTTCATAAGAGCAGTTTCCAGAGTCGTGGCAGCTGAACCCAATTTTAATGAGAGGCGTGAACAAGTTAAATAAATTGCATTCACAAATATAGGTTACTTTTTGAAGAGTTTTGGTGGTAAAGAGCAAGAGGTGAGAAAGGTAGAGTCAGGGCAGATGAGGCAGGGTTAAACCTGTTGGTGGTAGAAGAGAAAGGGGTGGTTCCTGAGAAGGTGGAGGGTGCAGGGCATGGAGAAGGAGAGGAAGAGCCTTCCTTCCCAAGGCTCTGAGCATGGGGTTCAAGGCCGAGGGGACGAAGTCTCTGAGGATGGAGACAGTGGAGTGGGATGGGCTTGACACGGACCACAGCGAGCACAGGGAAACCACACACTTCCTGATCCAGCTGGAGGTCCTGGTGGAGGACCTGAGGCAGCTGGTTTGGGAGCTCAGGTTGGGAACCTCAGGTCACTGCCACGTGCCCTTCCCCCTATTCCAGATGACCTTGGTTTCCTTGTGGGCAGGCAGGAACACCTGCCATGGGACAGGATGGCAAATCTTTTATCCTGAATCTCTTCTCAGGGAAAGTTCCCCAAGGGTGACAAGGCTGAGGACGGCTTCCATGGGGTCTCCCCAGTGAACGCGTTCCCCCCACAGAATAACTATGGTAAGATTTCTTATCGGTCTCCATCAACACTCACACGTGGCTGGTGGGAGCATTCTGCCTGATGGATGAGGCAGAGAGAAGCACCTGGGGCAGCATTTGCTCCCAGGGCTTTGATGGCTCACAGGCATGTGTGATGCTTTCCAGTGGTGAACTGACCCCCTGCTGTGCTGCAGGGCTCTATGACCTCGTGGGCAACGTGTGGGAGTGGACAGCGTCACCATACCAGGGTGCAAACCCGGATATGCGTGTCCTCCGGGGGGCATCCTGGATCGACACATCCGATGGTTCTGCCAATCACCGGGCCCGGGTCACCACCAGGTGAGGAGCTTGGTAGCTGAGGGCTGAGGGGCTGGAGGTGACCTCACAGAGCACAGGTGGCACCACAACTGGTGTTGGCACTCCTTCTGCATCTCTACTTGCACCAGGAGATGTGGGTACTGAAAAGGAAGCGGGTAGCGCTTGCCAGGAAAAAGAAAATAGTCCAGGACAGCGTGTGCCTTTTCTTCTCAGCTCTCACACCCAGGGAGACTCTGTGCCCAGCATCTCAGTTACATGGGCTTCTCTTCTTGTCCTCATCAGTAGGTGTGCGGAGGGGGGGAGTAGAATGGCCACATCAATAGGTCATGGCCATGGGTCATGGAAATATTGACTCTTCAAACAGGCGGGCGCATGGAAAATCATTTCTACAACCATTTTGATTTACAGTCAAGTTAAAAATGGGCCCAGGAGGGTCCTGGGACCTGCTCATTTCAAACAGGTGGTTAGTGGTGGCACCTGGATGGAGGCATCCTAGGCTGCTGGTCCCCTGCTAGGACTTGCTGCTTCGTTTGCCAGTAGATTTATTTTGGTTGATCTCCCTGCAACTCCTCCTATTCTTTGGCTCCATAAGGACTGTAGAGGCCACTCAGGATATCAGATTTGGAGGTGTTTCTTTGACCCACAAAGGCCCCTGAATTCTCTCTTTTTTAGGACAAAGTGGTAGAAAAAGTACTGGCCTAGAACCAGGAAACTGGGTTTGACATTGATTCTGTTGTGCTGTTGGAGCAATAGTTGGCCTTGGGCAAGATATTTAACTCTTTCTAGTATCTGCTCCTGGGTCTCTAAAATGGTGAACACACCTTGCCTTCCATAGCAGTTGGGAAATGGCAAGCGAGGGAATTCACTTGAAACTTTTTTGAAAAGTATGGAGAACTGACTGGCGCTGTGATACTCTCACTAACTGCCAACAGGTTTTTTCCGGCTGAGTTATTCCTAACCACCAACAGTCACAGGTGCTAGTCATGGCCTCTCCTGCCTTCCAGCTCAGTCTCTCAGGACCACCGTCACTTCCTCCACCCATCCCCAAGGCCGCTTCCTGTCCCCGGGACTGCCCTCTGACCAGGCTTCTTTCCAGACCACGCCCTCCACAGTCCTGGGGCCCCCCAGGTCGCAGCAGGCCCTGGGAGGTGGAACAGGAAAGTTGGGTAAGGCCCAAGGCCCCTTTCTCAACCTGTTCATTCTCTCTCCCCTTCTCTGGTGGCAGGATGGGCAACACTCCAGATTCAGCGTCTGACAACCTAGGCTTCCGCTGTGCTTCCAATATAGGCCGACTGCCTGGGGAGCTGTGAGCAGCCACGCACAGCCACGAAGAGTGCCCCGTGGTACCCATGCCACTCACTGGCCACATATCAAACAGCCAAGCTCTTCAACTTCCACCTTCTCCTCCTCTGCCCCTTGTGACGGGCACCTCTCACCTGGTGGCAGGTGGGCGGGAGAGGCCTCTCGCCTCAGGGAGGCCATGTCTCTTGGTGAAGGGCCCCAACACACTGATTGTGGCCAGGAGCTGGGTGTTTTTATTAGAGGTCAAATATCAACCATACAGGGGCCAAGTACTCAAACAATCAGGGCAGCATCCTCTTAAAGGCAGTGTGTTAAAATCCTTTTAAGTCTGTTCCCTTCCCCTTTCTCGGTGTCTGATTCAGGGACCTGACATTGTTTCTTAGGGCAGAATTTCCCCACTTCTCTGTTTTCCCAGCAAATTGCTGTGGAAAGGAGATGCTGCCTTCATTTGTATAGTGTTTCTGTGTGCCTCTGAAGGCACTTGATTTCCACTCTCTGTATGTGAAATGGAGAAATGTGGGCTCTTTAAAGCGCAATTCAGTCTTCAAAGGGTCCAGGACAGTGGTTCTCAACCTTCCTAGTGCCACGACCCTTTAATACAGTTCCTCATGTTGTGGTGACCCCCAACCATAAAATTATTTTTGTTGCTACTTCATAACTGTAATTTTGCTATTGTTATGAATCGTAATGTAAATATCTGATATGCAGGATGTATTTTCATGGTTACAAATTGAACATAATGAAAGCATAGTGATCAATCACAAAAACAATATGTAATTATATATGTGTTTTCCAATGGTTTTAGGCGACCCCTGTGAAAGGGTCATTGGACCCACAAAGGGGTCGCGACCCACAGGTTGAGAACCGCTGGTCTAGGAGAACGGCATTAACCAGGCCAAACTGTGCCTCCTGCGAGTCACAAAGTAAATGATACTCCAGAAACAAACATGAGAAGTGTCCCTTTCTGTTGTTAATTATGCAAGGGCTTCCTTATGCCTCTGGAAACCTGTCCCCTGGAGAAGGACCTGCTCCCATGGTGTCACTGGACATTGTGAGGTCAGTAAAATCCCCCGTGACTGTATATCTCAGACGGCTGTCTGTTTTCTCCTCACCCTGGGACCCTAAGGGAAGTGTATCCGAGGGTCAGTAACTCTGGGCCTCCCCTGAGCAGACACTGAGATGGTGGTACCACTGGGAGGTGGAGAAGCCGGAAGGCTTCTGGCGGTCGGACCACATCCGGTGCCCTCCTCTGTGCCCAGGCCCCAACTGCATTGTGATGGGAGTGCCTTTCGCTTGTGCAGAGCCTCTGAGGGGAGAGTGGCCCAGGTCCAGCGGTTCTGGTCTGGACCAATGCCTTCTCTGCACAACCTCATTCCTTTGACGAGTGTTTCTGTGGCTTCCCCTCCCTGCCTCCCCCTCCCCCGCATCCCTCCTGCCAGCACCTCAGTAGTCCTCCTCAGCCGGGGAGAGCAGCACAGCCTTGGGTGTGTTCTCAAAGAGCGCAGCCCGGTTCTGCTCCTGGCCCTTCTTCACCCAGTGGCCATAGATTCGGAAAGCATAGGCATCGATGAGCCGGCGCAGAGGCCGGAGGGAATAGGGGTCACGCATGATGATCTCCCGGGTCACAGGCTTCACCCGATGGTACTGGTAGTAGATCCGCACTGAAGCCAGCACTGTCAGAGCGATCACCTGCGGGGGGAGGGCCAGGTCTGAGAGCCTGGAGTGCCCCCTGGGTCCTTCCCAGTGTTCCCCCAGTTCCTGCCCTACCAGTACTGGCAGGCATTTAGACTGTCAGAGGACATCTGTCTTCCCTGGAGCCAGAGTTCTGGGAACCATCAGGGGTGGGTGGGAAGGGGAGGGCAGATACCCTAGAAACCCTAGCCTCTAAGTAGTATGAGTAGTGGTCCCTGGGGGGCTTGGGCTCCAGGGCCCTGGATGGGAAGGGAGCTTCAATACCTTGAACTTGCCCCGCGGGCTGAAGTGCCGCACTTCTTCCACGTCATACTGCTGGAAGAAGGGATGCGCTAAGGCCTCTTCTGCCGTCAGGCGGCCCTGGGGGTTCACCACCAAGAAGCGGGAAACCTGAGAGAACGGGGTGGGTAGTGAAAACAGCAAGGCAGGCTCCCTGCCAGCGCTTCAGAAGCCTTGGGGTCTCCTAGCAGACCCCTCCCTCCTGTGCCCGGCACCCCCTCCCACCCCCCCACGGTGGACTGCCCCTTGAGCCCAGGAGCCAGCGGGCCTGGCCCCTCACCAGGTCTTTCACGGTGTCCGAGTAATCATCCCACTCGGGTGAGCCAAACTGGTAGTGGCCGCTCATGATCATCCTCAGCATCAGCATCTGCTTCCGGTGCCAGAAGGGCGGGGAGCCAGCCAGCAGGGTGTACATGATGACCCCTGTGCTCCACCTGGCACCAGGTGGGTGGGAGGAAGGCAGGGGGACTGGCTGTAGCTCCGGCCAGTTCCTCCCCTCCCCAGCCAGGTGTTTCGGCCATGGTGGCATCCCTGTCCCTTCCCCCCAACACACTCACATGTCCACCTCCTTCCCGTAGCCCGGGTGGTCACTGTTCATGGAGCACTCAATGATCTCGGGGGCCAGGTAACTGGGGGTCCCACAGATCTCTGCAGGAACAATTACCATCAGATAGGTCAGCAGGAGGCACTTGGAAGAAGAAGGTTCGAAGAAACAAGATAGAACAGAAATAGTGCTTGGTCTGGGACTCGCCTAGCACTGGCCAACTTCAGGGCCAAGGGCAGGGGCCAGAGATGGCTCGTAGGGCCACCCACTTGGGGCCTGTTGGTTCCCTGGTCACATCTAACTGTTCTGGCCTAGAACTCAGGCCGTGGGAACCTGGCTCAACTCGGTCCTGAGAAGAGGACCTGCCTGAAAAGGCACCTAACCCTGAAATGATAGGATTTTTATTCTGGGGGATATAGGGGAGGGTCCCAGACAATCTCTGTTCCTGGGAGTTGGTGAGAAAGCCAGGCCTCGTTACCAGACCTCGTAGCTTCTCTCCTGGCTTCAGCTGGCAGGAAAAGCCAAAGTCTGTGAGCTTGATGTTCATGTCATCGTCCAAGAGGATGTTTTCGGGCTTCAGGTCCCGGTGGACGATGTCGAGTTTGTGCAAGGTGCAGATCACCTCCAGCAGGGCTCTCATAATCTTCCTGGGGTGGGACAGGAGCGTGTCACTCTGCTCTCTGCAGGGCCAGGTGGCGGGGAGGGAGACCAAAGCCCACATACCAGGCCGACTGCACAGGAGAGAGGGCGGCTGGGAGGGTCGGGCTGAGCCAAGGAGGGAGGTCACAGCCCAGCGGTGCACACCCTCTGAGACCTGGGTGCCTGTCGCACTGGGGCTTGGGCAGGGAGTGGGGAGAGGGACACGTGGACCCTCACCTGGTTTCCTTCTCACTCAGGGTGACCTTCTCAGTGAGGTAATCAAAGAGCTCCCCTTTCTTCATCCTGTGGTGACAGAGGGTTTGTAGCTGGATTGATCCCAAGACCACCCCATTCTTAGCCTGCTCCCAGAGAGCTCTTCCTCACCCCAATCCCTCCGGAGGCAAAGGACCAGGGTCTGCAGGGAGGAGCTGGGAAGTGAGTGGAGAGGTTGTCTGGGAAGATTGGAACAAGAGCAAGGGAGGCTGGAGGGGTGGTATGGCATCAGTGTGAGGGTCTCTCCCATCTGTGGGAGTGACAGCATGGACAGATCTATCAGGGCCAAAATCAAGGGCTGGGAGATGAAAAACTGGCCGAAGGCCCTCCTGGTCCAAGGGCCCAGACCCCGATCAGAAGGACAGGAGTATCCTGATATTTTTCAGGAACAAATGGAATGAGTGTTGAGTGTTGGAGGAGCAGTTGTGCCTGTTAGGATTAAGAATTGTAGTTCAACCTTCTCACTTCTTGGGATGCTCTATAAAGAGGTGTCCGTTAGAAAAATCTAGTCATAACCTGGAGGGCAACTTGGGGCAGCATTAAAAATAGATTCCCCAAGTAACTTCTTCAAAGGTTAGGGACATCTGAGCTGCCCCCAAGGGCAGGGCCACTGAGCGGAGCTGGGACAGCTGCGGCTGGTCCAGTCTGGAGGGTCCCTGGGAAAGTCTCCCTGTGTTAAATAGGAAAGGTGCATCCTGCCCCCTCTCACCCGCTCCTCCAGGGAAAGCAGTTGGATTCCTAGGGCACAAGGGATGTTGCTGGAGTCCCAGAGAGGCAAGAAAACCATTGAGCTTAGCTACTAGGGCAGGGAGAGGGGTTCCATTTGAAGAAACAACCTAGAATTCACAGATATAAGCCTTGCTTTATACACTATCTGCACTGTGTTCCTAAAAAGCAACATGTGAGTCCCATTTTTGTTGTTTTAATTGCAACTTAAAGACACTAGGTGAACTCACTATTAGCAATAGCAGCAGCAGCAGCAGCAGCAGGTTTACCTGTAAGTACTGGGGACTGTGCAAGGTACATGAGCAGGCTCTGCCTTCTGGAGCCGGCCGTTTAATTGTACACACAGGCCAAGTTACGTGTTTCTCCAAGCAAAACCACAATAGGGCCACAATAGGAAACGTTCCAACAATACAAAGTTTAACTGAATAATGTTCTCAAGAAATTCAGTCCCTAAATTAGCTGTTATATAGGGAGAAATCAAGACACCCTTTAACAGTGAGCCATGCAGAGAGATTTCTGTTCTTCAACAAGGACTCAGTGGAGTGGGGAAGCAACGAGCCAGGGAATTCTTTTTGCTGGGAACCTTTTCTAACAAAAAGGGCAATAATGCCCTGGCCAGTGTGGTTCAGTGGATAGAGCATCAGCCCAAGGGTCTCAGGCTTGATTCCCAGTCAAGGGCACGTCTCTGGATTGTGGGTTCACTCCCTGGCCCAGTCGGGTGCATGTGGGAGGTAGCCAGTCGTGTCTCTCTCACATTCCCCACCCCCTCTCTCTCCCTCTTCTCCAATCCCTCCCTCCCTTCCAACCTCTCTAAAAATCACTGGCAAAAAGTATCCTTGGGTGAGGATTAACAAGGTAAAGAAAGAAAGCCTCCAGCCCATAAGTGGTGAACCCAGGATTCAAAGCCGGGGAGCCTGACCCCCGGGGCTGACCTGCCTAAAACACTTGTGATCCTACTTGGCATCTACAGTGGGCTGGCTGCTGGATGGGAGACCACATGGGAAGTTCTCTGATGAGGCTCTGGGTATGGCTGGCTCCAGGGCTGGGTACTTACAGATCAAACACCAAGAAGAAGAAAGTGTTGGTCTCATAATTGTCCTTCAGCTGTACTGAAATGGAAATGGCTGGCTTGCCTCAGGGAGCAGAGGAGCCTGGGCAGAGGCAGTGGGGTCTAGGGGCAGGGGTAGGAAAGCTGCTGGGGCCGACTGCACAATTGAAGGGGGTATCTGGATGCTACTCCAAGGGGGCCCCCTAGGGGAGGGGGCAGGCCCAGTGACTTCACACCCCACTCCCCCGCCCTCACCCAGTCCCAGACCTGCCGGTGACCCCTTCTGTCTGGCTGGGAGAGGAGGCTTCGAGCTGAGTCCCCGGAGCAGTCTTCCTGGAGGTTGGAGCTCGGAACCTCAAGCCTCAGGGACTGGGCCGGTGGGCCTCAGGGTGCAGGAGACACCCTGGCCAATTCTGGCTAGCTGCATGGTGGGCTGCACTCCCTGACTTGGGTTCTCAGGGCAGAAGCAAGGTGGAGCTCCCTGCTTTGGCTGGTAGCCAGCACTCACCGATGTTGGGGTACCCTGACACCTTGCGCAGGATGTCCACCTCCTTCAGCGTGGCCTCTCGCAGCTCCTGCACCTCCTTGGGGCTGAAGCTGCCCCCGCCAGTGACGTCAATGATCTTCACAGCATACTCCTTGCGCGTGGGCTTGTGGATACAGCGCCTGACGACACTGCTAACTCCCCTGGGGGTGCAGAGGACAGGTGCTCTCAGCGGGTGCCCCAAGTCCAGGCCACAGCAAAGATGTCCTGCCTTGTCCCCCAACTCCCTGTGAGCTTTTGGGAGAAGCAGGATGCTGATGAGTCACAAGCCTGGTCTCAGGCCTCTTAACTCCCAGTTCAGTGTTCGTTCACACATAGATAGGCCATACACTCTCAAGGCCATAGCTTCGTTTGACCCCTGATCTCCGACCCTGGCCCAAAGCTGGGTTTGGATGTGCATGTCACCAGCGTCAGTCAGGGTTGCGGGAAGCTCTTTGCCAGGAGAGGTCCCTGATCTGGGTATTCACACCCTACCTTCCTGGTCAGGAGGGGAGGACCCAAACTGAGGGATGGAAATGGCCTGGGTGCCCAGGGTCCAGCAGGGATTGGCCCAGAGGTTGGCAGAGCCGGCTGGAGCCTCGGACAGTGTTTCCTGGAAAAGGTCTGGGCCTTACCTGCCCAGGATCTCCTTGGGCTCATAGTTCTCATAGAAACCCTCTGTGGAATGTGAGTCGTCCAGCTGCGCCTCGTCCCGCGTCATGCTCAGCTCCTTGGGGTGGTTCTGAAGGGCTCTGAGAGGGAACAGAAAGATGCTGTCAGCGCTCCCGGCCTGGGGGATGTGCTCTTTGAGGGTGGGAACCAGTTTTCATGCATTTTTGTCTCACCTAGCACAGGGCTGGACTATTGTGAATGTTCAAAATGAATGAGATTTGAAAAAATGCTTTGAAAAGAGTCGAGCATCGTTCTTCCCACTGGCTGTAAACTCTTGTGAGTCCAGGTGACCATGTTTCCCTGCATGTTCTCACAGTAAGCTGCTCCCCCTGGGGGAGGGGATAGGCAGCCAGGCCCAGGCCTGCGGGGACATCGGGACCCAAGGTTAGCTCTGAGGAGGCCGGCACAGCCTTGATTTTAGAAAGAACTACCGAGGCCCTGGCTGGTTAGCTCATTTGGTTAGAGCAGTGGTTCCCAAAGTGGGCCACATGCCTCCCAGGGGGGGCAATTTGATTTTTAAGAGAGGCAATTGGAGAATGAGTTATTAACAGTGACTTTTTTTGCATTTCTTATGGTTCTAGGGGCCTCATATACAATCTATAAATGTATATTGTGACCTATTTATGCATTTCAGTTCTCTTGGGGGGAGGATCAGGATTTTAGAGATGCTTAAGTGGGGCATGGCCAAAAAAGGTTGGGAGCCACTGGGTTAGAGTATCATCCCAATATGCCAAGGTCGTGGGTTCAATCCCTGGTCAGGGCACATACAAGAATCAACCAATGAATGCATAAATACGTGGAACAACAAATCTATGTCTTTCTCCCTCCCTCCCTCTCTAAAATTAATCAATAAAAATAAATTTAGACAGAACCACAGAGAACCTCTCCAGAGGGCAAAGTAAAGTGGCTTCCTTTCCTCTTTGGGGACATGAGGCTGGTCCTGCTTACTTCTGCCTGCTCTCTGCACTTGTGGAAAAGGTAGAAGCCGCACAATTTCATCTTCTTAATATGCTGCCCTTACAGCCTGTCCTTACCTACCCCAGTCCCGTCTGACCCTGAAAACGCCCCTTCTTTCAGAACATGCTTTCTCACTCATTTTGTCCTTACCCTGGACTTTCATAACCATCTTTCATGCCTTCATCCTTTTATATTCTTTGAAAAGCACTGTGCCAGATGCCCTGAGGGATGCAGAGCTTGATGGGGGAATTCTGGTCCCAGCCTCCGCTATCACTTGCCAGTGTGTGCTGTCATGTCCCCCATTAAGCTGTGATCTTGTCTAGGATGTCCCAGCCCCAGCCATCCTGCCCCTCTGTATGCATCCAGTGCAGGCACATAGCAGGAGCTGCTCCCGGAAGGTGAGTTGATGGTGGGGGTATTCTTTTGGTGCAGGGTCTGTCAGCAGAATGGCCCGTGTCCTACTAGCGATGGCCCGTGAGCCCTGAGTGGTCCTGCCACAGTGTGGGGCAGTACAGAGCCAGGACATCCAGGCCTGGACAGAGGAGCTAAGCTCCGGGTACTGACCTTGGATGAAGGGTTTGAGGAATGGACAAAGTCATCCACCAACAGGAAGAACAGCAGACAGAAAATGGGCACAGCTGCCACTGAGCAGGGTCCACACTCTTCTAGTCCCATGTCTCCTGCCTTTTCTGGGCCCAACAAGGCCTGGCTTGTCACAGGGGCTGATTTGCTGACCAGCCAAGCTCCAGCCCTGGCTGCCTCAGGCCTCGGGCTGGCCGTTCCAGGAAGCCCGGTGTCCCCACTGCTGGGTGCCTGGTTATCAGAAGCCTCCTGCCAGCAGCAGGCTGCTTCTGTCCTGTCAGCAACCCCAACTGAGCACAGGAGAGTCTGTTCCCTGTAACATCAAGTTCATTTCCTGGCAAGTCCTTATAAGTTCTCAACACTGCGTAGCACCAGCTCTTTACCTTCCCCCAGCCCTTCCCGGGCAGAGAATACATCTGGACCCACCCAGGATGCCATCCGGCTGGGGATGCATTCCACGGCATGGCCAGGTCCAGCTGATTCTGATGGCATTCATCTCTCTTGGTGTGGGCTGAGGAGGTTTCTCTTGTTCCCTCCTTTGGCTCCAGGCCTAACTTGGGGCTGTTTTTATGCGTCTGTTCACTGCCTCCACCTGCACCCCCACACTCTTCCCGAAACCCTTTTGAAATGGGTCACCAAATAGGTTTAATCCTTTCTGGAACATACTGTCCTTTCCAAAACTCAGTCTGAATCAGTCACAGGGACCCACTTTCTAAACTCTGGAGTCAGTGCCGTCATTCTTCTGGTCCACCTGCCTTCAGAAGGGAAGTGGGTCTAACGGACTTTGGGGTTTCTACTCTAACCCACAGCCTCCCCCTAACCCTGTCTGCCGCCTGGCTTTTGTCCATCACTGGCTCAGCTACTCACCGTTAGGTCCTCACAGGCCCTTGAGTAGACTTGACAGGAATCTCAAAGGTCCCAGAGCCCCTTGTAGGGAGGGGACAACAGAGGACTGCAGTGTGTCCTGAGCCGACAGCTGTGGCCGGAGCAGGATATTTTGCTGCTCTTCCTTCGTGCTTTGCTACTTGATGAGGGAAGGCAGAGGTGCCAAAAATAAATCACCAGAGCAAACCCGGGATGCAGGCCAAGGCTCCGCAAGGGACAACGCACAGGAGTCTCTCCAGCGGCGACCTCTGGTGGCGGGTGAGGGAAGTTCGGGTGACCTGGGAACAGGCGTGACAGCATGAGGCGACGATTTTCCTTCTGGAGCTACTTGGTCTCCAGGCCCAGAGGGTCTAAAGCCAACCTGATTCTCTGGGAGCCGTTTCTGTGTTTGGTGTGATCAGGGAACAGCACACTGGTGCACCCACGCTAGTGCTGGGACCTGGACATCAGGATCTGCTCAGGGACAGTTTGTGTGGCTGCCCCACAAAATGCAGACCTTAAAGGTTAGGGAACATCCCCTTCAAGGAATTGACCTTGGATCTGTCTCCATTCTCATCCTTAACCCATTTTGTTGTCAGCCTGAAGTTTCTACTGGGAAGAGTTTTTTTTAATATATTTTTTTATTGATTTCAGAGAGGGAGAGGGAGAAACATCAATGATGAGGATTATTTATCAGCTGCCTCCTGCATGCTCCCTACTGGGTATGGAGCCTACAACCGAGACATATGCCTGACCAGGAGGGATTGTGGGAGGGCTCCAGGGCGTGTCTGGCCCATCTCAGTCCCCAGCAGCCTTAGCATATCATTAGCATATAATTGAACCGAGACCTCTGGTTCATAGGTCGATGCTCAACCACTGAGCCATGTTGGCTGGGCAACTACGGGGAAGACTTCAGTGTGCCAGGAAAAGCATATGGGCTCTGTATGCAACTCTGAGCTCTTTGGGTGAGTATGATTCTACCTTAAGAGGCTGACAGAATTGGGAATAATGTATACAACATGGTAGCACACAGTAGACACTTATTGCTCTCCCTTATTCTAAAGCAACCTTTTTTCAAACCCTTAATTCTAATATACAAAACAAAGGGAGGGGTAATCTACATGTGCTTCATAGGAGCTGAGCCCATAAACATCCATTTGACTAGCATATTACAAAGCACTTCACTTGGACCCCAAAACTTTGGTATTAGCCAATTTTAGAGAATGTTTGACTTGTTCAGCATAAAAAAAAATAGGTGAGTAGGAGTGGCTAGATTAACCCCAGTTGTGGGTCCAAGTGCTCTCTTGGTTCTATCATGCTGACCATCTCTTTTTCACTCTGGGGAAATACTTTGCTGAATTGCTACATAGAAAGGAGTTGATGACTTCAGGGTTGAGTTTTATGCCTAAAGGTCTTATTTATTGATGCAGCTTTTGGCTCCAAGGATGAAAACACTTTAATCTCATCCTTTTACTTACTGTCAATAAGCCTTTTTTTTCCTGATTCTAGACTAGACTTGACTTGTACTAGTTTATACTTTGAATGCATGACAGAATCCCTTCTGACCTTAGGGGAAAAGACTAATGCACCCATAGGATCATTCCCAGTGCCTTTCTCTGGGGAGCCATGGTTCCTACCAGAGGCCAGGCCAGGCAGACTCTTGCATTTTATTGCTGACTTATTTTCCTTTGATTCACTAATTTAATGATATCTGGGTACCCACTATAGACCATCACGCCTTGGATGTAAGGGGCAATTAACACTGAGCCTCCAGGATAATGGGCAAAGGAGTCCACTGACGAACCCAGGAGGGACTGTTAGAGGACTCGCCAGGAGTGAATTATCTGTGGTCATTCAGATGCTCAGGGTAAGGCAGTCTTGGCCCCTTTCAGGAACTGAATGATTTGGTAGAAAAGGGCACTCCAAGAACAGCTGAGGACAGGAGGCAGCAACTGAGTAAGTCACTCATTCAACATCAACTCACCCTATAGTAAGAGGTCTCTAAGACTTAAGAGGGGGGAAACCAGATAACAGAACCTATGAAAGGTACATTTAAAAACTGAAAAAGTGCAAGAGCATAATGTAGACTTGGAGATCAACTCGTAAAATTTTTAGTTCTTTGAGGTTTAGAGCTTGGTTAGCAAAAATGGTGCACCTCAAATTGAGTCCACCTAAAGACAATTGCAGCTCACCTGCGTCTTTCATGAAGTGGGAGCTACAATGCCTAAAGTTAGAAAAACATCTATAGGAGAACTGCGTGTTATTAAGAGAATGGTTTACACCTCTGATCAAACTAATTGGATATGCTAGGGCAGTGGTCGGCAAACTCATTAGTTAACAGGACCAAATATCAACAGTATGATTGAAATTTCTTTTGAGAGCCAAATTTTTTAAACTTTATATAGGTAGGCACATTGTTATTAACTTAATTAGGGTACTCCTAAGGCTTAGGAAGAGCCACACTCAAGGGGCCAAAGAGCCGCAGTTTGCCGACCACTGTCTAAGGAACAGTGACAAATAGTGCTCACAGGGTACCCACTTACTCTTCACCCGATTAGAACATTAGTATTTTAAAGTTTCTTGTTACTGCTCGGTTTATTGAACACTGGCTCTGAAGGCTTATAGTACCTGGAACCTTTTTAATGGGTAACATGTTTGCTAGTGAACTACT